ATCAGGGTGTGCCAATATATCTTAAACCTTTGCCTGGTAAATTGCCAAGTCGGATGCAGTCACCACATGGAACATCCCTTTGCCTCATTCCCCTCTTTGTGGTTTGTCAGGATTCCAACCAGGTAGAAGAGTGAAACCGGCAAAGTTGACTTCTTCCCTGTTTCACTCAAAGCTTCTATTGTTAGTACTCAGCTCCTTGCCTTCTCTTATGAAGTCAGAGATTTCATAGTTGACATTCCCCCTACTGAAATTGAAATGGCCCATTCTCTCAAAAAAGTTTCAGGGATAGGGGCAGCTAGGCGGCACAGTGGATAGAACTCTGACTTTGGAGTCAGGAGGACCTGAGTTTGGTCTCAGACACATGACACTTACTAACTGTGTGACCCTGGGCAAGTCACTTAACTCTGACTGCCTCATCAAAAAGAAAAAAAAAGTTTCAGGGATGCCTGAGGTCTTAGGATGATATAGGAGAAAGAGCACAGGATCTAGCCTCAAAAGAACTGAGTTTGAATCCTGTCTCTGCTACTTACTAACTCAATGACCTTGTGTAAGTCCCTTCATCTCTCTGGGCCTCATTTTGCTCTAGGCCCTAGCCCCCATAAAGGTCCTGGGATCAAATTGACCAGTTTCTAACCTGGGGTTTGACCCCAGAAGGCCATTTTCTCTAAGCTCTCCTTGGGCTCTAAGATCCTATTATTCTCTGGATTGATAGGAAAACTGGCCCCCACTTGGTTGCATTTCAAAAAGCAATGGCTAGACACAATAAATGGATTTCTAATCTTGGCCAGGATTCTCTTTACTGGAGGAAATGAGGAAACTGAAACCCACCAGGTTTAAATGACTTGCCCAAGGTCACAAAGCTAGTTAATGGCAGAGGGAGAGCTAAAAGAGAGGTTCTGACTCCCAGTCCAAAGCTTTTTTTTTCCACAGGGTAGGCTTCACAGTGAAAGTGAAACTTGGTCTGAACTATGAAAGATAAGTAGATTTTAGATAAGTGTGAATAATAGAGACAATTATTCCAGGTAGGAAGGAACAAGAGCACCAGAAAGGTTTAGAGACAAGAATGAGCATAGTGGCCTTTAGTGACCACCCCCATTTTTAAATTCGGTACGTTTACCTGCTCCTGTGAGCTACATATAAAGGGGTACACCAATGATGGTGGTGGTCTGCTTTGGTATATAGGCCAAATGGATTTCCTAACCATTGGTCCTGCTTCTGAGATTTAGGGTCAAAAACAATTTTTTAAAAACACTAAAACGTGTCACCCCTGGGTTAGGGGATGGGGAGAGGACAAGGAGTAGATATGGGGTATACATCTGTGACTGAGACATGGCGGTGAGATTGGGTTAGTCAACATTCACTCACAAAACTGGGCAAAGGAACAAGTGAGAAACTGATAGACCAAAAAAGTCAGGGTGCCTCTAAGTATGGGAGTTCAAGGAAAAGCAGTTGGTAAGGCACCAGTTACTCATGCTGAAGTAGCGGACATGAATAATGAAGTGAAAGACAAGGTGGTTGGTAAGTCAAAAGGTCAGGTACGTGATCACGAAATAAAAGATTCATAGATTACAAAGGCACAGGGCAAGGTGAGGGAGAGAACAGAGACACTAGCAACCAAGGTGATTTTGATTCTGAGGCAAGAGTCTAAGCCACTCAGGAAAGAGTCTTTTATATGCTTTCTGCTAGGACAGAAACCAATTCCAGGGCACGGATGGTACAGAGCCTATAGGTGAGAACAGGTGAGGACACGCACCTGGTTAGAAGTAAGGAAGTTGGAAAGAGAATGGCAGCTAAGGCAGATCCTACGCATGCTTTTCCAAAGTTTTCTCCAGAACTGGAAGTGCCAACTGCAAGCAAATAAGAAAGCCTCAGGACAGACTCTGGGACAGTATAGGGCCTGAGTGCTTTCTGAGGTAGTGATATGACCTTGGGAAAGTCATCTCACCTCTCTGGGCTTCAGTTTTCTTATCTGGAAAATAAGGCTGCTGGATTAAATTTCCAAGGGTGCTTCCAACTCTATGAGTTCTATAAGTCTCTGAGTTGTAAACAACTGGCCTCCCCACAGGCCTTTAGGAAAATGGCCTGGTATGTTATGTCAGGGTGCCTCCTGGAGGTAGATCACTAGGGAGAACAAGTCCACAATGGGCCCACTGTTTATTTCTTTAAAAGTTACCTGTTGTTACTTCCATAAACTTTGAGTCACTCTTGGGGTTTTTTTTTCCCTTTTCATTCTCTAAATGAAAAGCATTCAGAGATGAGATGATGTCCCAGAATGTATAAATAACTTAGGGAGCCTTTAATCAACTTGAAATAGCCATGCTTCTTGGCTGAGAAAGCCTCTTCTTTCTTTCTAAAGCATTTGGTTTTATGAAAAGATTCAGGTCAGTGAACAACATAATAATAAGGGTGTCACCTTTACCCTTCCATAGCCTACAGCCGACCTTCAACCAATACCCCCTTTCCCTTTTCCCCTCCTGGCTGGACATTGATCCCTATTTACCTTACCTCCTACAAAGGGAACCCAGAATCTCCTTTTCACTATGACCCTTAACTCTTCCCAGTGGTGGTGGGCCATTCCTGTAGGCAGACAACCTTATGCATCCTTAAGCTTCCTGAGCCTTGCCACTCACAACGTGGCTGAATGTGTTGTATCTCCCTTTTAGAGTGTGAGCTACCTGAGAACAAGGACAACTTTGTTTTTCTACTTGTATCTCAAGTGTTTAGCACAGCACTTGGGACATAGTAAGTGCTTAATAATTTTTTTTTCATTTTTTTCATCCATTCATAAAAGTAATAGAATTTAAAGTATATCCAGAACACTCCACAAAAGATTTACTTTCTGAGTAGCTAAAATTCATTCTGGCTGGTTGGGAATGCAGGAGCATAAGATGTTAAATGATTGATAAAATATTGCAAAGGCCAAAGAAAGTATCTGTTTAGAATAATCCAAGACATCTTGCATTAACCCTGCAACATGCCCTCCTCAAATGCTCTTCAATACAAAGTTATTCATTACCGTGTCCTGTTTCCCTTCTTTTTTCTTCCTGATTTCTGTCTCTTTTTTTCTCCCTTTCCCTTGGGGAATGGGGAGAGAGACAGAGACAAAGACAGAACACAGCAAGAGAGAGTGAAATAGTGCTGGATTTGGAGTCAGAGGACCTTGGTTCAAATCCTGATTCCACCACTCTCTACTTGGTAAGTTGTTTAGCCTCTCTGGGTCTCTGTTTCCTCAACTGCAAAACAAGAAAACTGGACCTTGAAGGTCTCTTCAAGCTGCAAATCTAAGGTTTTATTTGTTCCACTACCTTTCCATTAAATTTATTTTAACAAACATTTGTTGAGACCCTATGTTAGACACGGGAAATACAAGGACATAAAAACAAACAAATCTGAATATTCTGTCTTCAAGGAGCATAGACTTCACTGGGAGGCTATGGCTTATTGACAAAGAATAATAATTTAGTACCCCCTTCTTGGGCTACTCACCCAACTCTCACTTTAACTGTCATGTTGGGTCCCTAGATTGGCAGATACTATTCCTTCCTAGAGAAGTAATTTGACAGTTATGATTTCTAACACTGTAGCTACTGAGCCTTTATGTGGTGTGTCCCTCAATATCAATCAACCAACTGAAATCAATTAGTTTTTACAAAAGGGACATTTACTGAGAAACTATAGCAAAGACAGAAGTTACCAAATATTCCCCAACCTGGGGGTGTACCCTTCCCTTGAACATTCAAGGTCCCTGGGAAGAATAGGCTCAAATTTACAGTCCAATGGCAGTAAGCATATGTGTAGCCAAGGGCACCTCCAGACCCCTGATCCCAGAATTCCTTCCCCCCATTTGTGGAGTTCTCACTCATGAGGTTCTTCCATACAGGTGTAATTTTCTATGGGTTTGGTGGACCAGTATCTTTTTAGAGTCCATAGCCAGAAGTTCTCTCCAACACAAAAGATCATGATCCCGGAAGTTTCCACTGTCCTTGGTCCTATCTTTCAACTATTTAGAGATGTATATTCCCACTGTAGACTCTGCCATAGCAGCTCTGATGGACTTTTGGGCCACCATTCAGTTCTTACCACCAGTGCCATCTCTGATGGACTTCAGGACATCCTGAACTCCCTGGTCACCTGGTGACCTCGTAGCTCACAGAAGTTCTCCTTAATTGAAAATCTCCAGGGAAGAGAGTGAAAAATAGATTGCCTAAATCTTTTGTATACATGCTTTAGTTCCTGAGTCTTTGGTGCTTCCAGCTCTTCAGCCAACCAGATGACTCTTTGCCATCACACAGTACTAGGCCCTCAGTCACTCATGACCAGAAACCAATTCCCCAAAGTTCTATGTATGAGATTGAAACCACACAAGGAACATCTATGAATATTCTATATAACCCACCAGGAAGGGTGAATCTGAGCATATTCTCAGGACTGGACCCTCTCTGGCCAGTCATACACACCCACAACCCCCATGACATATCTAGTATTTATATAGCCTTAAAGGTTTACAAAACACCACACATAACATTATCTCATTTTATTCTCATAACAACCCTAATAGGCAAGATATGAAAGAAGCAAAGAAGAGATAAGACAGAGTGCTCAAGGAATAGTTGAAAAGGGAGAGAATACTAAAAAAGGGGAGGGTCAAGGAGGTGACATCTAAAACTGAGCCTTGAAGAAAGATAAGGAATTTAAGAGACAAATGTGAAGCAATGTATTCTAGGCATGGGGGATAGTTTTATAAGTGCATGGAAACAGAAGGAAGCATACTGAATTCAGGGAACAGATCAAAGTCCAATTTGTCATGTAGAGAGTATAAAGGAGAGTAATGGAAAATTAGGCTGTTTATTTTATTTCTATTTGCCTAGCCAATTTCACTATTGGTCCCAGAACCAAGCAGGCCAGTTTTCTGACTATCCATATTTTCTGGGTTTCATTGTCTTCTTACCTATAACAATAATCACTATTGATCCTCCAGTGAACACCCAAATGAGACTCACTTCTCATCCCCAGCTGCAGGTAAAGATTTATCTTCATCTCTTGTCTTCTCACTTTGGTTATAAGATTCTTGAAATTTGAATCTTACTGGTCCAATCACCATAGACTTATCCATTCCTCTCCTGTATCATCTGTTGAAGAAGTGAAATAATCTTTTAATAACCTTGTAGCTAAACTTTAGCTTTTTTCATTGACTCAGTGTTGTCTATGGGACGCACACAATAGGAAAACTTTCTTTTTTTTTCTTTAAATAAATATCTCATTGACATGAAATGAGCACTTTTTGTCCCACTGTCCTAGATCCAAGCTGCTACATCTCCTCTTGGAGTCCTAGGGGTACCCTTAGAGGTCTAGGGGTATCACTTCCCTAACTACATTGGCTCAAGTCTCCACAGGTTTACAAGTCCTTGTGATGACTAGTATTGCAGTTCCATTTATAAACTTAACAAGAATTCGTTTCTACACAGGGACATTTATTTCAAAGATAAAGCAAGAACAAAGGTATTAACATCTCCTCCTCCCTCTAACACTTCAGGGACCCACTTTCCCTTGTCCCACCTCAGTCTCAGTGGGGAGGGTGGGGTGAGAAGGATGGAGGGGAGAATAGACTCACTTTTAGCACAGTTCCTACATAGCATTGATCCCACCAAGTTTGCATCCAAGTCCTTGTCTCCGCTGCCCCTCTGCTGAGCCCAGTAAGTCACCCTGAAAAATCACTCCTTGCTCCTTGGGGAATCAAGGCTGGGCTGGCTACAAAACCTTAATGCAGAGATGCCAGGACACTAGGATGTCACAGGCTCATTCTTCTGACCTTTTGAAACTCACATGATCCAGATTGATCTCCTTCACCTAAAACTGAAGAGAAAGAAAATGGTGGAGAAAGACTGAGGCCTGTTTTGACAGGGTCAAAGTTCTGGTTGCTGTTACTTTTCTGAATGCCTCGATAGCCAGTTGGAAAATGGTTCTCCTCATCATAAGGTTCGTGGGCTGGGATTAGTTATAGAATCTTTGCCACATAAACTCAAGTCTCTCCAGGGTACTTCCATTATATATCATCGCTACTCTCCTGGAAGCATGTTCTCAGCTTTCTCCCTATAGAACAATGCTTTCAGGGGCCCTCTGGGCTTATGCCAGTTCCCATAACAAATAATTTTTTTTTAAAAATCACTTTCATTTCCCAATAATCACCCACCTTCCAAAATCCTCCTTTGTAGTAAAAAAAAAAGTACAGTTAAGGAAAAAAAATACATTTTCTACGTCTGACAATGTATGCCTCATTCGATACTTTACTGTCTGTCACTTCCATGACAAGAGGAGAGAAGTATGTTTTGTTTCCAGTTCTCTGAAGTCAAGATTGGTCTTTGCATTGATCATAGTTACATTTTTCCAACATTGTTTTCTTTTACATTATAGTAGTCATTGTGTACATTGTTGTCTTGGTTTTGCTTACTTCATACTGTATCACTTCATCATAAAAGCCTTTCATAGTTATCTTCACAGAATTTTTCCTATTTGTGATTTCTCTCAATGCCATAATATTCTATTACATTCACATACCAAAGCTCGTTCAGCCATCTCCCTAATCAATGGGCACCAGTTTCCTTCCAGTTCTTTGATACTAAAAGTGCTACTATAAATATTTGTTTACATTTCTTCTCCTGTTTTTGATGTCCTTGAGATCTACTCCCAGCACTGATTTCACTAGGTCAAAGGGTATATACAATTTAGCAACTTTTCTAGTATAGTTCAAAATTTTCTAGAATGTGTGAACCAACTCATAGCTCTGCCAATAGTGTTTTTTTATTTTTAATTTATGGGATAAAACAAGCATTTCTATAACATAGTATAATAAAAAAAAGATAATTGCTCAGGAAAGCACAAACCTATTGTGTACAACTTGCTATTCCTTTTGATTGTATAATAAAGTTTTCATGAAAATTTCTTTTTTTTTCTTCCCTTCCCTCCCTCCCTTTCCCACCCTGCCCTAAACACTACTAGCTCTGTCTCCAAAGATGATTAGTGAAAAAGGAAAAGAACCAATAGTGTTTTAATATCAGGAAGCCACTTTTAATATAACACTCCCCAGCCTTCTCTGCTTCTCTAGTCTCTTCCTAATCAGTCAGTCAGTAAACATTCACTAAGTGCCTACTGTGTGCCTGGCACTGTGCTATGTCCTGGGGATACAAATAAAGGCAAAAGACTGTTCCTATCTTCAAGGAACTCACAATTGAAAGTGGGAGACAACATGCAAATAACTATGTATGAATAAGATATATCCAGTGATAAATAGTAAACAAATAAACAAAGGGAAGGCAATAGGATTAAGAGATTGGGAAAGGCTTCCTGGAATTTTAACTGGGACTTAAAGATAGAGGGAAGTCAGGAGGCAGAGTGGAAGAGAGAGCATTCTCTCTTCTAGGAGGATGGAGGACAGTCAGCGAAAATACCAGGAGTCTGAAATAGAACATCTTGTTCAAGGAACAGCTAGGAGGCCATTGTCCCTGGATCAATGAGTATGGCAGGGAGGTGGTGAGGATAGTAAGTAAGGTTTAAGAAGATTCTCCTAAGAGATACAGACACATTAAATGTTTAACATGAGCACAGGCTAGTAGGGAGAAACTCTCTACATGCCAGCCCTCTCATCTTGGCAGAATTTCCCAGTCAGAGGTTATCAAGCGGCTTGAGGAACCCATTAAGCCTATATTCTTTTCCTAAAGAAATTTTCAAATGTCATTATTCCTAAAGTTATATTGTTTGTTGCCATCTCCATCCCTCTGAATTCAAGAGAGAGGAAAACGGGAGTCATGCCCCAGGGCTTGGTCTTTTGAAGGGTGTTCTTGGATTTCAGTTTTCAGTTCTGTTGCTGAAAGAATTTTAGTGTCACAGGGGATTTGGGAGAATCACGAATGTAGACGCGTGTCTGATTCTTATCGATAATATTCATAAACACAGCCTTGCCATGGTCTCAGGAAGAAGTAGCTATAGCCATAATTAGAGTAGGTAGCTGGTTATTTGTTATGACCTCTGCCCCAAATTATCCACCACCCAGATTTGCCACAATGACTCAAATTCTTACCATTAGAATTCTACTTTTGTGGGGCTGCTAGGTGGCGCAGTGGATAGAGCGCTGGCCCTGATGTCAGGAGGACCTGAGTTCAAATCTGGCCTCAGACCAAACACTTGACACTAGCTCTGCGACCCTGGGCAAGTCACTTAACCCCAACGGCCTAAAAAAAAAAAGAATTCCACTTTTTGGGTTAAAACATAAAAGCTCATTTTCAAAATGTAGCCTAATTAACTGGGGAAGGTAACTATGACATTGTCAATGATCCCTACTACCCTATTACCCATTTAGTCTGCCAAAGTAGCCAAATACCTAACAGGTCCCTACGAAAACAGAGGTGGCAGGACAGGTCCATTTATAAGTGGGATGGAAGATTAGAAGAGTATGGGTGACACCTGAGGAAGACAATCTTGAGCGGGAACCTTTCAATGGAGGGGGTTAGAAAATGTGTATGGGAGCAGGGAGTGATACAATTTATGGTGGCACAGGCCCCCAGGACAAGGGTAGGGGGTACTGCAAGACAGAGTGAAGTGATTTCAAAAGGATTGACGTAGTTCCAAAATCAACCAGGGCCCACTTAGCAATTTTGGCCAAACAGTCCTGGACTGTCCTTTACTCCATCCCTACCTCTCTCCTACTCTGCCTCATAGTCCACTAACCTGAGCATTTATGTAAAGCACTTTGCAAACCTTAGAGTACTACATAAATGTTAGCTATTATTATAATTATCTAAATATACTGATATATACACTAATCTTCCAAAAAAAGTAAAGGAGAGAGAGAGAGAGAGAGAGAGAGGGAGAGTAGTTAAACAGAAAATCAGCTGGCGTGCTATAGAAACAATGCAGCCTTAAGAGTTTGGGGCAGCTAGGTGGCACAGTGAATAGAGCACCAGCCCTGGAGTCAGGAGGACCTGAGTTCAAATCCGACCTCAGACACTTGCTAGCTGTGTGACTCTGGGCTAGTCACTTAACCTTGTCACACAAAAAAAAAAGAATCAGAGGACTTGGGTTGAAATCATGGCTCTCCCATTCCCCATATGACCCTGTGTAAATTACTTTATTCCAAGCTTTGATTTTTTTCATCTGTAAAATGAGGGCATTAGTCTAGAAAACCTCCATAGCGTTTGCCAGTTCTAAATCTATGATTCCAAATTTCTTCATTTCCACACTGACTAACTTCTAACATACCTTTTTTTTTTCCTTTGCACAGAAAGAGCTTGCCTAACGGAAAAGGATCCAGGATCCTGCAAGGCATACTATACAATGTGGTACTTTGATCCCCTGGAGAGGAAATGCCTCCAGTTCTTGTATGGAGGGTATGTAGGAAATGGAAACAGATTTCTCACCAGAATGGAGTGTTATCAGAGATGTGCTCCAGAATCAGGTATGTAGGGAGGATGTGGGGAGCTTCAATTAAAATAGATGAGTCAGAGAGGAGAAATGACTTTTTTATTCAGTTCAGCAAATAAAAGGACAAGATAGATGTGCTTAACATGAGAATAAAAAAATGTCTGAACACTTAAAAGAAACAGGAGTAAGGTTAGTGAGTGATGCCAGGCCAGGGAAGACCCATTGCAGTGACCCTTCCTGAGCCTCATGGTGCTCATCATTGCAACTAACATGTCCTAGGCAGTGGGGAGGTAAGAGGATGAGTCAGTGGCATCTGGGTCCCAGTTGTAATATCATCGCCATGCTGATGACCTGTGTGGTTTATTACTATTTCTTTTGGCTAACTGATATTCTGGTGCAGCTCAACCCTCTCTTTGGACCACAAATTAAAAATGAAACCATCTGTTATTTCAAGCATCGCTGGCCTTGAGGAAAATGATAATCTGTGCAATTCTCTATCATCTAGGTAAAGAAGATAAGTTCTATTTATTAAAGCACTTCTTAATCAAAAGACTGCCTTAACTCATCTGTTTGGAGACCAGCTGCCTTAAACATTTACACTACACTTGAATTTTTGCTTTGTTCTAAAGACCAGGTTTTTTTTTTTCATTCATACACTTAAAAAAATTTACCTTTTGTCAAAAGGTGTGCCTATTTTACCCAAAGTATATACCAGACACATGAAAGGAGTATGAGTTCTTTTGATAAAGAAGAATGTGACTAGTGGAGTGAATATTATTCTCTTTCCTCTTGGGAAGGTAAGCACTTGAAAATGATTCCCCTCCCCCATTCACTGAATTAAAAACAAGTGATATATTTATGACTCCTACAGTAGGATGCATGGCTATAGCTTCATTAGCACCAGAAGATTAATTCAGATGAGGGTGAAGAAAATTACTACATTGGCACATTACAAAATGTGTTTCTCACTTTACATGTTAGTCTGTCATCTTTCAGTCATGAGGTGGTCAGTGTTTTCTGTCATCTCTCCCCTGGAATCATGGTTAGTCATTGTGTTTCTCAGTTCTTAAATTCCTAGAAATGTTTGTTTTTACGATATTGATGTTACAGTATAAGCTGTTCTGGTTCTGCTCACTGCACTCTTCATCCGTTCATTCATGCAAGTCTTCCAGAGTCTCTCTGAAGCTATCTCACATTTCTTACAAGATAATAGAATTCCATTCCACCCATATACCATAGTTTGTTCTGCTTTTCTCCAAATGACGTTCCACTCCCTTAGTTTCCCTTTTTTGCCACCACAAAAAGAGCTGCTATAAAAATTTTTATATGTACAGGGCCTTCCCTCTTTCTTTGAAATCTCTTGGAGTATAGGCTTAGCAGTACTATCCCTGGGCTAAAGGATATGTAAAATAGACTCTATTTTCCAAATAATTTTAAATTAAATTTCCGTCTCTTTTTGGAATAAATTATTTTCTGCTTTGTATGGGAAAAGAGCAACATAATTTAAAGAAAAAAGAAATAGCAGATAGTTAATAGAGGTGAATGTAAAAAGCAAAGAATGACATTTGATGCTTATACTGTTAGATTTATCCAGGATCTAATTCAATTGAACATTTATTAAGCACTTACTATGTGCACAGATGTAACATGAAATTCTTTTGGCATTGTGGGGAGAGAGTGATCATAAGAAGAGCACTGAACTGGAATTTTTAAAATCAGCATTCTATTTCACCCATTTGGTCCTCAACTTACACATCTGTAAAATGAAGGGGATGTGCAAGAGCAGTGGTGTCAAACTCAGATAGAAATAGGAGCACTAAACAGTACATAAGGAGTCCTGCAGGCCACAGATTGACTTAGAAAACCACATATTAACATTATCTATGTTGTATTGCATTTTTATTTATTTTGTAAGATATTTCCCAGTGACATTTTAATCTGGTTTGGTCAGCACTCCGGGAGTGTTGTGGGCTGCATGCCATCACATGTTTTACACTTAAGTGCTAGTGAATCTGTCGAGTTCCTTTTTGGCTCTAAAATTACGTGACTTTCAGTGTTTATACAGCACTTATTATGTGCTAGGTACTTTACAATTATTATCTCATTTGATCCTCACAACAACCCTGGGAGGCAGATACTAATATTACCCCCATTCTACAGATGAGAAAACTGAGGCAAAGAGAAGTTAAGTTATTTGCTCGGAGTAAGCCAGTAAGTGTCTTAGGCTGAATTTGAACTCAGGTCTTTCTGACTTCCAGCCCAGGGCTTTTTTTGTAATTTCTTTTACACATAATACCTCACACTCTTGCTCTAGAGATTAAGAAAGAAAATTTTTTTAATTTGGCACCTATTAAGCTGGAAGTCTTTCTGACTTCCAACCCAGTGCTCTATCCACTCATCTCAATTCACATCCCATTGTCTAAGACTTTTGTCCAGGTCTTTCTATAAATGCTACACAGGGGATCCAGGGATATACCAGGGATCTTCCTCAATCTCTTGATATTACATGGGTACCAATGGAATAGTAGGCTGACCATCTGGAGCCAGGCCTTCATCAATAATTGACCCTTTTCCTTTTCTGATCTTTGGTCAAATCATTTAATCCCCTTCTCCTATGTAAAATGCTGCATCTCTTGTTTATTTTTGTTTGAGGAGCTGGGTTGGGTTTTATTTGTTTGTTTGTTGGGGGGTTGTTAGTTTTTTGGTTTTGTTTTTTGTTTTTTGTTTTTTTTTTTGGTCCAGGACTGTGATTTCATCAGTATGAGAATCTCTCCATAGGAAACTCTCTGAATCAATACAGACGAGGAACTGTCCACAATTAAGAGCTGTCTGGGGCAGGGCACTGGGAACCTAAATGTCTTACCCAGGATCAGGCAGCCAATATGCAAGTTGACTTACCCAGGGTTAGGTAGCCAGGATTTGAACCCAGGTCTTCCTGACTGGGAGGCTGTCTCACTTTCCAGTAAGCCTTGTTAAACAATGAAAATATGCAGAATGACTGTTACTCACTGTGCTTTAAATGCACAATGCTTAATGTCTTTTCTCCAGCCCAAGAACAGACATCAAACATGTGCCCTGTTCAAAATTCCAAACACATGCCAGACCTCAAACTGTGCTGTCATAATCCTCACTTGACAGGATTTATTAAAATACTTATCAAGGCTTCCTTTTTCTACAAAGGTCTAGTTTTGTGTTTTGTTTTTTTTTTCTGCTAGGCTTTTTTTTTCTTGTTAGTTTTGCTTTATTTCAGCTGGGTTTTTTCTCTTGCTAGTTTTGCCTTTTTTTTTTTCCCTGCTAGGCTTTTTTTTTTTCTGAAACCTATTTTTCAAGCCTACTAAGGATTTTTTTTTAATGTGTCTTGCTCGGCAGAAACTCTAGCATCTTCACCCCTCACAGGTTTTCACTGGGCAGAAATGATCTTTCTTTTCATCTTCCTCAGGGTTGTCCCTCACACAGGGGACATGACATGTTGAAGTCTGATAAGCCTAACCTGGTGTGGCCAGACTGAAGGAAGACAGGCACACACTTACTGTATTTGGCTACGGTTTCTCCAGGCCATGCTGTTCTCTACCCTTGGAGACTATATTGTACTAAGGATAATAGAATCATAGCTTTAGAGCTGGAAGGGATGTAAAAGGCCAGCAGTCCAATCTCTTCATTTTATGAATGAGGAAACTGAGGTTCAGAGAGTTACATGATTTGCCCAGGATCTCAGAGCTGATAAGTGACTGAGGCAA